TTTGGGAAGGGGGAGGTTAAAGTGAAAGTAGGGGCGGACTGACCATTTGGAAACTCGGGCACTGCCCGAGGTCCTGGGGTCAGTAGGGGGCCCAATGAGATGCCCCTGGTACGGGGGGGGGGGGGGGGGGGGGGGGGTTTTTTCATTGGCTTTTTTGAGTTTGGGCAAGGACACAGGGGCCCCATGATCCCTTATTGCCCAGGGGCCCCATGAGTTATCAGTCCGCCCCTGGGTGAAAGCCTTACTGTTCATGCAGTGGGTGTTCTTTTCACGCGTAAGGCTTCCATTGGTGAAAAAAACTGACCGAACTGTAACTTCGAAACTCAAGCAACTTTTCTTTAGACTCCATTTTGAATGGACTATGATTTGCTCATAATAAAATAAATAGATTTTACTCTCTAAACCTAGGAATACTGTCAAAAAGTACATTTTGGCCTTTTCTGAATAAGGGCCAATAAATAAAATCTGAGCATATGGAAAGCGCTACGATAGTTATTTTCTAGGGTGGAAGGTGGATTCCACAACATGTAAATTCAAACTGGAAGACCAAGATGATTTGTGTTGCTCTCCAGATCTCCTTTCATCTTTGATTCTGTAGTGTGTTCTGCAGACGGAGTCCCAGATAAAACGCATTACGTGAGTCGCACCCGCTGATCTGTGCCAGAGGTCACTGTGATATCCAGCTCACCATCGTGTTCAGGTTGCTGATAAAATGAGAAACACGATAAGGTCAATATTGAACATCTGAAGTCGTATTTGTTCTCATTTTCCAAAAAAGGAAACCATTTTACTGTGCGATAAAGTACAAGCGGGCAGCTTAAGGAGAGGCAGGACTGAAGGAAGCAAAATCCTGATAACAAATGACTGGGAAGTACATCTTGACGTCTTAAGCCTTTTTATTATGTGTTTTGTCTACGTGGTATTCCCCTTTTTTATTGGAATGTGCATTTATTTGCCATATACTCTCCCCATGCGGTAAACAGACCGCCAGCATTGCCGAATGGTTTTTTTTTATTTGTTTCCCAGCAATCTTCCTGACCCATTGTTGCTATCTGTTTTGCTGTGTTGGAATTTTATTTTTTTTTAACCAATTCAATAAAGGGCAATTTTACCCCTTCCTGCCCAGGCCATTTTTCAGGTTTCAGCGCTCTCACACTTTGAACGACAATTGCGCGGTCATACAACATTGTACCCAAACTAAAATTTTATCATTTTCTTCACACAACTAGAGCTTTTTGGTGGTATTTAATCACCGCTGGGGTTTTTATTTTTTGCTAAATTATCAAAAAAAGACCGAAAAGTTTGAAAAAAAAACATGTTTATCTTTGTTTCTGTTATAAAAGTTTGCAAATAAATAATTGTTCTTCATAAATTTAGGCCGAGATGTATTCTGCTACATGTCTTTGGTGAAAATAACCCAAATTAGGATGTATTATTTAGTTTGTAGGAAAGTTATAGAGTTCACAAACTATGGGATAGATCTGAATATTGATCAATCCTGAAGTACTGACAGCCAATATAATTTCTTGAGGTCCAAGAATGTCAGAATAGTACAGATATCCCCCAAATGTCAGAACAGTACAGATATCCCCCAAATGTCAGGACGGTACAGATATCGCCCAAATGTCAGGACGGTACAGATATCCCCAAATGTCAGGACGGTACAGATATCCCCCAAATGTCAGGACGGTACAGATATCGCCCAAATGTCAGGACGGTACAGATATCCCCCAAATGTCAGGACAGTACAGATATCCCCCAAATGTCAGGACAGTACAGATATCCCCCAAATGTCAGGACAGTACAGATATCCCCCAAATGTCAGGACAGTACAGATATCCCCCAAATGTCAGGACGGTACAGATATCCCCCAAATGTCAGGACGGTACAGATATCCCCCCAAATGTCAGGACAGTACAGATATCCCCCAAATGTCAGAACAGTACAGATATCCCCCAAATGTCAGAATAATACAGATATCCCCCAAATGTCAGAACAGTACAGATATCCCCCAAATGTCAGAATAATACAGATATCCCCCAAATGTCAGGACAGTACAGATATCCCTCAAATGTCAGAACAGTACAGATATCCCCCAAATGTCAGGACAGTACAGATATCCCCCAAATGTCAGAACAGTACAGATATCCCCCAAATGTCAGAATAATACAGATATCCCCCAAATGTCAGGACAGTACAGATATCCCCCCAAATGTCTCAGGACAGTACAGATATCCCCCAAATGTCAGGTCAGTACAGATATCCCCCAAATGTCAGGACAGTACAGATATCCCCCAAATGTCAGGACAGTACAGATCTCCCCCAAATGTCAGAACAGTACAGATATCCCCCAAATGTCAGGTCAGTGCAGCTATCCCCCAAATGTCAGGACAGTACAGATATCCCCCAAATGTCAGGACGGTACAGATATCCCCCCAAATGTCAGGACAGTACAGATATCCCCCAAATGTCAGAACGGTACAGATATCCCCCAAATGTCAGGACGGTACAGATATCCCCCCAAATGTCAGGACAGTACAGATATCCCCCAAATGTCAGAACAGTACAGATATCCCCCAAATGTCAGAATAATACAGATATCCCCCAAATGTCAGAACAGTACAGATATCCCCCAAATGTCAGAATAATACAGATATCCCCCAAATGTCAGGACAGTACAGATATCCCTCAAATGTCAGAACAGTACAGATATCCCCCAAATGTCAGGACAGTACAGATATCCCCCAAATGTCAGAACAGTACAGATATCCCCCAAATGTCAGAATAATACAGATATCCCCCAAATGTCAGGACAGTACAGATATCCCCCCAAATGTCAGGACAGTACAGATATCCCCCAAATGTCAGGTCAGTACAGATATCCCCCCAAATGTCAGGACAGTACAGATATCCCCCAAATGTCAGGACAGTACAGATCTCCCCCAAATGTCAGGACAGGACAGATATCTCCCAAATGTCAGGACAGTACAGATATCCCCCAAATGTCAGGACAGGACAGATATCCCCCAAATGATCCCTTTTTGCAGAGTAGACAGTCCGACGTACTTCATAAGAGGCATGGCGAGTTTTTTGAAGTTGTATTTTTTTTTGTCATAATTTTTCGGAAAATGAAAAAATGCAAAAAATTATTTTCACTATTTTTTTTTACATACTGTCACCAGTGCAGTACAGCGTCATCATATAACTGGCATGGCGGTGCAGGGACACTGACTGGTGACAGTACGAAAAAACAAAAAAAATTTTTTAACTTTTTTATTATTTTTAATTTGTTATTACATTTTTTTCAAGATTTTTTTTTCTTTTCATATTTCACTATAGTAACATTGTACTACTTTGGGGAAGTGATCAGTAGTTTTTTTTTTTTTTTACACAATTTGCTTATAGCAAAGAATTACTTTGCTATAAGCAAGCATTTTCCTGAATGACATTGATTCATTCAGGTTTTTTTTTTTTATGTGCTTAGCTGTGATTTGGCCACAGCTAATCACATGACATGTGCATGTGATTAGCTGTGACCATTCACAGCTAAGCAGTAGTATACAATGGATGGCATGAATGAAGCCATCCATTGTATACAACTGTCATGTGACCTGTTGTGATTGGTCACAGCAGGTCACATGGTACCGACAACGGGGCCGATGCTCAGATCTGTCATTGGCCGTGTCCCAGGTACACGGCCGGTGACAGATCGCGCCGCTGCGCGGCTCTGCAAACACGAAAAGTGCGCATGTGCGGGAGGACGCCATTTGGCATCCAACCCGAAAATCCAATACATTTTGCCGGCCACCTTTTGGCTATTGGCCGGGTGTGTATTGGTTAAATAAACTAAGGCCCGTTGTCCCAGGGTCTGCAGCAGTCTAGACCTTTATCCCTTAACCTCCCTAGCGGTCTGATGATGTCAGTATTTCTGTGCTCAAAGCGGTACATTTTTTTGCATGGAAATATGTCGTTTTTTTTTTATTGTATTCCTGTAATTTTTAGGAATAACTCACTGAAATCTGTCCGAACAAGAGTCTAGTAAACATCCCGGGGATGATAAAAACTTGAAACACAAAATCAAAAATTATAATTTAATAAATAATCATAAAAAATAATAATATAATAATAATAAATTTAATTCAATAATATAATCAAACCAAAAACACTGAAATGTGAAATAGAGCGCCAAGTTCGCACATCGCTGAGCAAAGTCGCAGAATCGTTTTTTCAGTGTCTGATGAGGAATTTCCCCCACCAATCATTATCACTCAATTCTGCAAGTGGTTCTGATTTACTATCGCTGTTCTCTAGCCGGTCTAAAACCGCTTTTGACCTAAAGGGACGCTTTTTGGACGCCATGGACGTTTCTCAGTTTCCAGGCAGAAAGAACAGTGAAAATGCAGGCAGGGCGCCGGACAAAGCACTCGGGACAAAATGTATGTGAAATGGTTTGATACAGGAATGTTATACTATGTGATTTTAGTGTATTTAGTGAATGCCACTTTTACAACTTTCAAATTTCCCGCCAGTTCAGTCCCCCGTACGTCCCGACGTCACAGGGAACGGAACCCGGAAGACAGATGCCGGCATAGGCCGGAGGACATTACAGGGGACACTGCAGGGGGGACATCGCGGGAGCGCAGGACAAGGTAAGTGCAGAAGAGATCCCGGAGCAACGCTGCAGTGTATTCCCGAGTGTAGCTCGGGGGGGTTACCGCTTGTGGTGCTGAAACTTTACCCCGAACTACACTCGGGAATACCGCCAGGGGGGTTAATAAGCAATTTCAATTACTTAGCGCTATATGTGATAAAATTTCATTCAATTTAAAATTAAAGCAGCCAGCACAGTATCGCAGGTGTCAATACATAAACTAAACAAAAATGTGCAGCGCTACACAAAAATACTAATACCCACGGAATTAACCACTTCCCGTCTGTCTGTTGTATATAAACGGTCGGACGGTGGCAGTGCAGGGTCGGGTGGCCATTTACGAATGGGCTCCCCGAACCCTGCTTGTGCGCGCTCCCTGGGAGCACACAGCACCGCGATCCGGTGCCCGCTGTGTCGTCCGGAGACAGTGGAACACCGATCGTCGAACGGGACCTCTGTGCGAGGTCCCGATCATGTGATCACTGATTGGCCAATCAGTGATCACATGCAGAGTAGTAAGCAAAACGTCACTTCTGATAACATTGCTTACTACGTGTGAAATCTGTGAATGATCAGAGAGATCACATGGTACAGGGCTATTCACAACAGACTTGCACCATGTGACAAACCGCGACCAATCACAGCTCACACAGTAGTTCTCAATGGCTGCAAGAATGCAGCCAAAGAGAAGGAGAAATGATTGCTTTTACAACCTTTATGGGTGTAAAAGCAATCAGTGTAAAAAAAAAAACTCTTCATCACCCCCCACAAGTAGTACAGTGTCACCATGCCCATGGGTAATATAAATATACTTTATTATAATTTTGTTTTATTAAAACCTTTTTTTTTGTTACTATAAATATATTTTATTAGAATTTTGTTTTGTTAAACCTTTTTTTTATTATATTTTTTTAATATAAATATATTTTATTAGAATTTTGTTTTATTATATCTTTTTTTTGTTTTTTATATATAAATATATTTTATTAGAATTTTGTTTTATTAAACCTTTTTTTTTTTGTTACTATAAATATATATTTTATTAGAATTTTGTTTTGTTAAACCTTTTTTTTTATTATTTATTTTAATATAAATATATTTTATTAGAATTTTGTTTTTATTAAATTTTTTTTTTTGTTTTTAATATAAATATATTTTATTAGAATTTTAATTTTATTAAACCTTTTTTGTTACTATAAATATATTTTATTAGAATTTTGTTTTATTAAATATTTTTTTTTTTGTTTTTAATATATAAATATATTTTATTAGAATTTTTATTTTATTAAACCTTTTTTTTGTTACTATAAATATATTTTATTAGAATTTTGTTTTGTTAAACCTTTTTTTTTTTATTATTATTTTTTTATATAAATATATTTTATTAGAATTTTGTTTTTATTAAATCTTTTTTTTGTTTTTAATATAAATATATTTTATTAGAATTTTGTTTTGTTAAACCTTTTTTTCATTATTTTTTTAATATAAATATATTTTTATTAGAATTTTGTTTTATTATATTTTTTTTTTTTTTTTAATATAAATATATTTTATTAGAATTTTGTTTTATTAAACCTTTTTTTTTTGTTACTATAAATATATTTTATTAGAATTTTTTTGTTAAACCTTTTTTTTTATTATTTATTTTAATATAAATATTATTTTATTAGAATTTTGTTTTATTAAATTTTTTTTTTGTTTTTAATATAAATATATTTTATTAGAATTTTAATTTTATTAAACCTTTTTTGTTACTATAAATATATTTTATTAGAATTTTGTTTTATTAAAATATTTTTTTTTTGTTTTTAATATAAATATATTTTATTAGAATTTTTATTTTATTAAACCTTTTTTTTTGTTACTATAAATATATTTTATTAGAATTTTGTTTTGTTAAACCTTTTTTTTTTTTATTATTATTTTTTTTTATATAAATATATTTTTATTAGAATTTTGTTTTATTAAATCTTTTTTTTTTTTTTAATATATAAATATATTTTATTAGAATTTTGTTTTGTTAAACCTTTTTTTTTATTTTTTTTTTTTATATAAATATATTTTATTAGAATTTTGTTTTATTAAATCTTTTTTTTTTGTTTTTAATATAAATATATTTTATTAGAATTATTATTTTATTAAACCTTTTTTTTTGTTACTATAAATATATTTTATTAGAACTTTGTTTTGTTAAACCTTTTTTTTTTTTTTTTTTTTAATATAAATATGTTTTACTAGAATTTTGTTTTTTAAAAATCTTTTTTTTTTGTTTTTAATATAAATATATTTTTATTAGAATTTTTTATTTTATTAAACCTTTTTTTTGTTACTATAAATATATTTTATTAGAATTTTGTTTTGTTAAACCTTTTTTTTTAAATTATTTTTTTAATATAAATATATTTTATTAGAATTTTGTTTTATTAAATCTTGTTTTTTTGTTTTTAATATAAATATATTTTATTAAATTTTTTTTTAATAAACTTTTTTTTTTATTTGTTTATTTTTAATTGATTGCTATCACAAGGGGTAATAAGCCCCTATGTGATAGCATTGGGCAGGTGACAGGTACTCTTCATGAAGACATTAGGGGGTCTAATAGACCCCCCATGCCCTTCACTAGTACGTCCAAAGAGCTGAACTGGTTAAACATCTGCTATCTACACAAACATTGCTAATATCTGGGAAATTGTTTATGTCCATCAGCATGTACAGGTCGAGTGTCGGGAAGGGTGCAGAGCGAATTTCCTTTCCAACGATCGCAGCGTTTTTGCTGTTTTCTCTGTAAGGTGATCTGGTCATATAAACACCTTCTGTTTGCAGAACGCAGCATTACGCTTGACAGGCGAGGTGAGAAAAATTTGTAGTTACAAACCGCTGAAAAGGATTCAAAATTGATGATGTTTGAGTAAATACATATTTCACATATAAGAGATACAGTAATAGATCTGTGAAAAATAACATTTTAGAATTGTGGGTCATTTTTCAGTCCTTATGCCGGCCATAGATAGGTCGAAAATCGGCCGATTTTCGCACCGTTAGTAGGTTAATTGGTCGGCCGTTTTTCGGGGTTTTGACACATTTTTTTTATCTGTCAAGTTGGAAAAATTTGCGGGACGATTTTGAAGATCGGCCGATTTTCCCAGCAATGATGAGCAAATCGGCTGATCGTTTTTACCGATAAAAAAATCTGCACATAAGCCGTGACCTGGAAGAAGAGGAAAAAGAAGAAGAAGAAGAGGAAGAAGAAGAGAAAAAAGAAGAAGGAAAAGAACAAGAAGAAAAAGAAAAGAACACAGAGAAAAAGAATAAAAAGAAAAAGAAGGAAAAAAGGAGCAAGAGAAGACGAAGAAATAGAAGAAGAAGAAGAACAACAACAACAACAAGAAGCAGAAAAAAGAAAAAGAAGCAGAAAGAGAAGAAGAAAAAGATGAAGAAAAAGAAAGAAAATAAGAAGTAGAAAAAGATGAAGAAGAATAAGAAAAAGAAGAATTCCAGTCCGCTATTATATTGTATATGAAAGTCTTGCGGTTGCAACAATGTATCCATTTGTATCCGAATACAAACATCTGTATCTGAAATGGATACAAATGGATACATTGTTGCAACCGCAAGACTTTTCATATAAAATATAATAGCGGAGCTCTCTTCAGGGACAGAAGTAAAAATGCCGGCCGTAGACGGAACGAAAATCGGCCAATTTTTTTCTCTTTTTACCGTTGGTGGTAACGTCGGCCGATTGAACGACGGATTTTTCGGGGGGTTTTTTTATAAAAAATGGCCAGTTTTCGACCCGTCTATGGCCTGCACTAGTGAATACACGGTTCGCAGACATGTATTTACACAGTTACTGTTTCACATTTATTGAACTTTTTTTATATTTGATTTTTATATGCTGCACTTGACTGTTTCCGCTGATCATTTTTTAATTTTATTTGTTTCTTGGCTTTTTTTTGCTTATAGCGCAAAAAATAAAACCCCCAGCGGCAAGTAAATACCACCAAAAGAAATCTCTATTTGTGAGAAAAAAATAATAAATACACACAATTGATAGCTCTTACTCCGCTGATGTTTTATGGACTTTGTATATTCTCACTTTTATGCTGCGTTTCACATTTATTAAATGATTTATTGAATATTTTTTTCTATTTGATTTTTTATACGCTGCGCTTGACTGTTCCGCTGATCAATTTTTTTATTTTTTTTTTTTTTTTTCTTTGCTATATGTCAAATGGACGTTTCACTTCATTTTCATTATATCATTCACTTATTTTAGCGCTGCACTTTATCTTCCTTCTGCAAGATCTGTTTCATGGAGATTTAAAAAAAAAAAAAAAAAATGCAGACGATTTGTTTTAATTATATAGTTACATAGTTAGTCTGGCTGAAAGTCCCAATCATGTGATCACTCGTTGGCCAATCAGTGATCACATGCAGAGTAGTAAGCAAGATGTCACTTCTGACATCATTGCTTATTAGTACATGTGAAATCTGTGAATGATCACAGAGGTCACATGGTACAGGGCTATTCACAACAGCCTTGTACCATGTGACAAGCTGTGACCAATCACAGCTCACACAGTAGTTCTCAATAGCTGCAAGAATGCAGCCAGAGAGAAGGAGAAATGATTGCTTTTACAGCCTTTATGGGTGTAAAAGCAATCACTGTAAAAAAAAAAAAAATCGTCATCACCCCCCCACAACTAGTACAGTGTCACCATGGTGCCCATGGGTAATATAAATATACTTTATTATATTTTTGTTTTATTAAACCATTTTTTTTGTTACTATAAATATATTTTATAGTACCATGGTGACACTGTACTGCTAGGGTGACAGTATGTAAAAAAAATAAAAATTATAATATTATAAAAAAATAAAAAAAATGTAAAAAAATGTTTTAAAAATTATAATTTTGGGTTATAAACTAATTTGGGTTATTTTTATTTCTTTACTAAAAGATAACTGAATAAATTTTGGCCAAGATTTATGATGAAATATTTTTATTTGCACAATATTATAAGAAAAACACTTTTTTAACATTTTTTGGACTTTTTCATTTACATAGCAAAAAAAAAAAAAAAAAAATCCCAGCGGTGAATAAATACCACCAAAATAAATCTTTATCTGTCTCAAAAAATGCTAAAAAATTCATATGGGTACAGTGTTGCATGACCGCGCAATTGTCATTCAAAGTGTGATAGCGCTGAAAGCTGGCCTGGACAGGAAGGGGGTGAAAGTGTCCGGACTGGAAGGGGGGTGAAAGTGTCCGGACTGGAAGGGGGGTGAAAGTGTCCGGACTGGAAGGGGGGGTGAAAGTGTCCGGACTGGAAGGGGGGTGAAAGTGTCCGGACTGGAAGGGGGTGAAAGTGTCCGGACTGGAAGGGGGAAAGTGTCCGGACTGGAAGGGGGGGAAAGTGTCCGGACTGGAAGGGGGGAAAGTGTCCGAACTGGAAGGGGGGAAAGTGTCCGGACTGGAAGGGGGGTGAAAGTGTCCGGACTGGAAGGGGGGGAAAGTGTCCGGACTGGAAGGGGGTCAAAGTGTCCGGACAGGAAGGGGGCGAAAGTGTCTGGACTGGAAGGGGGTGAAAGTGTCCGGACTGGAAGGGGGGAAAGTGTCAGGACTGGAAGGGGGGGGGAAAGTGTCCGGACTGGAAGGGGGGGAAAGTGTCCGGACTGGAAGGGGGGGAAAGTGTCCAGACTGGAAGGGGGTGAAAGTGTCCGGACAGGAAGGGGGGGAAAGTGTCCGGACTGGAAGGGGGGGAAAGTGTCCGGACTGGAAGTGGTTAAAAAAGTCCTGGATTCTTTCTTGGATACACAGAATATAACTGGATATAAAATTTATTCCCTGCAGGAGCAAATTGGATCATGCTTTGCTGGGTTTTTTGCCTTCCTCTGGATCAACTGTGGGTATAGGATTATAACTTCTTTATTTTATGGTTGAACTGGATGGACTTTTGTTTTTTTTTCAGCCAGACTAACTATGTAACTATGTACCCCCCCCCCCCTCCAATTTGCATTCTTGCTGCTCATGTAGCCCTAGCATGTGCTTTTTTTCAGATCATTTACTAGAAATGAATTTCATCCACATTTCAAATCAAATCCAATGAGTTTTCTTCAAAAAAAAAAAAAAAAAAAAACTTCACATCAGAAAAAATGCAAAACACAAATGTCCCGTTATGGGTTCTAAAAATGTTGCCACTGGCATTCACAATTTTGAAGATCTTAGAATAGTTGGCTTCTTTTAGCATCACAAGATCCACTACAGAGTACTTCCAACATGACTCTGTAAGAGAGAAAATACCCCGCTCCAGACCTTTTCTCTCTGATTACACCCACCAATGGGACTGGGATCTCACACCCTCCAATACGACCCTAAACCAGGTATAACATGCTCTGACCCGGACCTTCTCCTCACCGTCTCTCTCTGATTACACCTACCAATGGGACTGGGATCTCACACCCTCCAATACGACCCTAAACCAGGTATAACATGCTCTGACCCGGACCTTCTCCTCACCGTCTCTCTCTGATTACACCTACCAATGGGACTGGGATCTCACACCCTCCAATACGACCCTTAATCAGGTAGAATATGCTCTGACCCGGACCCTCTGTCTACCGTCTCTCTCTGATTACACACACCAATAAGACTGGGATCTCACACCCTCTAATACCACCCTTTATCAGGTAGAACATAATCTGACCCAGGCCTCATGTCTACCTCCTCTCTCTGATTACACCCACCAATGTGACTGGGATCTCACACCCTCCAATACGACCCTAAACCAGGTAGAACATAATCTGACCCAGACACTCTGTCTACCTTCTCTCTCTGATTACCCCCCACCAACGGGACAGGGATCTCACACCCTCCAATATGAACCTCAACAGGTAGAACATAATCTGTCCCAGACACTCTGTCTACCTTCTCTCTCTGATTACACCCACCAATGGGACTGGGATCTCACACCATCCAATATGAACCTCGACCAGGTAGAACATACTCTGACCCAGACCTTCTCTTTACCTCCTCTCTCTGATTACCCCAAATGGGACTGGGATCTCACACCCTCCAATACGACCCTTAATCAGGTATAACATGCTCTGACCCAGGCCTTCTGTCTTCCTCCTCTCTCTGATTACACCTACCAGTGGGACTGGGATCTCACACCCTCCAATACGACCCTAAACCAGGTAGAACATACTCTGACCTGGGCCTTCTCCTCATCGTCTCTCTCTGATTACACTCTCACCAATGACATTGGGATTTCACACCCTCCAATACCACCCTTAACCAGGTAGAACATACTCTGACCCAGACACTCTGTCTACCTTCTCTCTCTGATTACCCCCACCACCAATGGGACAGGGATCTCAAACCCTCCAATGCCACCCTTAACCAGGTAGAACATACTCTGACCCGGACCTTCTCCTCACCGTCTCTCTCTGATTACACCCACCAATGTGACTGGGATCTCAAACCCTCCAATACAACCCTTTATCAGGTAGAACATAATCTGACCCAGACCTTCTCTCTGATTACACGCACCTATGGGACTGGGATCTCAAACCCTCCAATACAACCCTTAATAAGGTAGAGCATATTCTGACCCAGACCTTCTGTCTACCTTCTTTCTATGATTACACCCACCAATGGGACTGGGATCTCCCACCCTCCAATACCACCCTTAACCAGGTAGAACATGCTCTGACCCAGACCTTCTCTCTACCTTTCCGTTCACATTCACCACCAAGAAATTTACCCTCCAACATCATGTCCCTTCATGAGGTGGAAAAAATACACTTCTCTTGCCTAGGGATGAGGTTTCCCTGTGGAGGATTTGCCAAAAATCCAGGGGGTTCAAGGTCAAAGATGCCAGTGAATTTATGGTGACATTTGACACACTGAATTTCCCCCATAATCCTCCTCCATACTTTTTAACTACAGCCAGCAGGATTAACATGACTAATAATGGAGACTTTAGAATATGTCAGGCCCCTCAGGAAAAAATGATGGGGTCTCAAACAGCCATTGGAGCAGTTTAGGTAGAGCTGACAGTTCGTTCGTTCATCCCCATCCCCCGGCTGCATTTTTTTTTTTTTTTTTGTTCTGTGGATACTAGTATTTTACACTCTCGTTGAAACCACTTGACACAAAACCCTTCACAAATATTTCATGTAATCTGGCCGTATGTAGTGTTTTATCGTCATTATCTTCATAGCCAGCTAAAGGAAACCCTTAGAAATGTTGTAGTTTTGGGGGTGTTTTTGAGTGAAGAATCAAAACCTGAATCCTTCATCTTTAGTTATAGTAATAACACCACGAGAGTAGGAAAACATCACGCTGTGTATATATAAATATATATATTTGTGCATCATTTATATTTTTTTACATCCTGCACTTTAATTTTACTGTGGGAAGAATGGGGTTTACATTATATTGGACATCCAGCAGTTCCTGATCCTTGAAGGAGACAATGACTGGAGGAAAATCCACTTTCTGCAGAACAAAAGGTTTAATATACAGATTACTGTCATTACAAGAAACCCCCCGACCTGTGGATGTGATGTGACCGTAAGAGAGCCAGACGTGAGAATGTCAACGAGATCCCGACACAACACTTTCCGGAGGACTGGACTATTTATTATAATCTATGACAAGAACATCAGCAACAGTGTGATTATTTCTGCACTGGAAATGGAGTTTGGAGAACTGCACATTAACCTAATGATACAATTATTATTACTATTAGCAGAAGTAGTTGTATCATCATCATTATGTTGTTATTATTATTTTTATTATTATTATTATTATTATTATTATTATTATCAGAAGTAGTAGTAGTAGTATCATCATTATGTTATTATTATTATTATTATTATTATTATTATTATTATTATTATCAGAAGTATTATTATTAATAATGATAATAATAATAATAATAATAATAACATAATGATGATGATACTACTACTACTACTGATATTATTATTATTATTATTATTATCAGAAGTATTATTATTAATAATAATAAATAATATCAGAAGTAGTAGTAGTATCATCATCATTATGTTATTATTATTATTATTATTATTATTATTATTTTTATTATCATTATTAATAATAATACTTCTGATAATAATAATAATAATCATAATATCAGTAGTAGTAGTAGTATCATCATCATTATGTTATTATTATTATTATTATCAGAAGTAGTAGTAGTCATCATCATTATTTGTTATTATTATTATTATTATTATTATTATTTATATCATCATTATTAATAATAATACTTCTGATAATAATAATAATAATAATAATAATCATAATATCAGTAGTAGTAGTAGTATCATCATCATTATGTTATTATTATTATTATTATTATCAGAAGTATTATTATTAATAATGATAATAATAATAATAATAATAATAACATAATGATGATGATACTACTACTACTACTGATATTATGATTATTATTATTATTATTATTATTATCAGAAGTATTATTATTAATAATGATAATAATAATAATAATAATAACATAATGATGATGATACTACTACTACTT